GATCAATATTAAATCATAATACTCTAAACAGCAGCCGCTGGCTTACATTGTTCATGTTAGCGAGTGTCTAAACGACCAATTTTACTTCCAAGTTTTAAGTAAACATGCAAAAATAAAACGATAAACCTTTACTTGGCTAGTTAACTGAAATAAAACGATCAACTGCACACACCTCTGCTGAATCATAACTTGAACGGTGTTCTCGCGCCGATGACGTCAGCATCCAGGTAGGCACGCCCAGGGCATGCTATTCATACTTCCACAGTGGGTTATGATTGGTCGACTGACAGGCTTAAATCTGATTGGCTAACGAGAACGAGTGTCCCGCGTGGGGAGAGGTTCGCTGCCAGGAAAGTCTCAAAAATACACACACAAATCCAAGGCGATTCACACATTCACTGTCCATGATGAACTCGTGAATTTTAAATACTCAACATTTTTGTATTTAGTTGTACATCTGTGAATTGTGTTTTGCATTTGTGAAACGTATTTTATGAATGTATATTCTTATTTTGTGCATGTGAATTGGTTTTTGTATATATATTTTTTTTTTCCGTGCACGTGAATTGGGTTTCATGCATGTGAATTGTGATACGCATGTGTGCATCGTGTCTTTTGCGTGATTTATTATTGAGTCTAATCTGCTTCCATAGAGGAGCACCAGAGGATTTTAAACGAACACACTCCAGTTTTAAAGTTGTCCCTTGTCTGCGCTTCGATTAGGTTTCTTCTATTTCCCACATGTTCCCATCTCACCGCACACGGATTTCGTCGCACACAGAACCGTTCGCGACTTCGCGTTTGAACTCGGGATACTTGCTGCATGCTCTCTTTAACGTCCTCCACACTCCTATCCCAGCACCGTCGGGTCACTGATATCAACCCAAATTGGGTCAAATCAAGTCAGCTTCCTAACCCAACAGTCTCAACCGAGCGTTTGGATTGAAACAATTACCAGCGTGTTTTATATGTGGGCTATAAAAAAGTAGCCTACATTTTTGCTAAATTGCTTGCAAATATAAGATTGTTGTTAGGTCATACATACCACGTAATAATATTAGAATAGGTAGCCTACCCCTTAGTTTCAAAATACTTACAGTAGAAATAATTTGTAATTTTACAGGTTATTACCCCTTTATTCCCCAAACTTAGCATATTATTCCCTTATATCTATACGGAGGTACTGAATAGGTACACTATAATTACAAAAAAATTACGCTGTAAATTCTGTTTACTTACGCAGTAAGTTGCGGGTTGTAATCTAAAGCGTTAGCCATAAATTGTATTGCAGAACACTTTTGGTGCTACTGAGATAGGATACTGGTAAGATTAAAGGACAGGTTTAATGGTATGGTTAGGTTGAGTTGATTAGGGCCAATAGTGTAATTTGATGTAATTATAGAAATTAATTACAAATGCAAATTACATTCAGGTATTTTTTTTTTAAATATAAGTACAATGCAAAAATGCGTGTTCACAATAAGTGCATTTGATCAAATGATTCATTCAAATGTTAGTACATAATAGTGGCACTCAATATAAAGTGGGTAAAAAAAAAAAAAATCAAGATAGGTTTGAAAAAAGCTCTAGAATCAATTGTTTTAAGATGCCCCTTTGACACATTGTTGTTTAATGCAATGTAAGTATTCAAAGCCTTTGCGCTATTCACTGATTGTATCATGTTAACTGTAATGAACAGGGATATGACATACAGTATGTTTCTCACCATCAAATGTTGCTTCACTGATTCACAATCTATTAGACAAACTGTTGACTAGAGCTACTTTTTGATTCCCTTATAAAAAGTGCAGACATCAGTTTTATGATGTCTGACAGAACTAGTGTTGTTACTGTATAACAAAACATATTTGTTAAAAGAAGCTGAAATAAAATATATGAAATGAAAACCTTAGGCTTAAAACAAGTGTACTACGGTACTATACAAAGTAAACTGATAAATGTACCACACTGCAGTGACTATGTTTTTCCGAAATGAATACCATAACTACACCCAGTGCATGGAAAACCCATGAGGGTGCAATAAATCTGGGGACTTTTGACACTGGAATTCATGGCAGTATCATGATCATGTGGTGTGTAAGATCCATGAAAGCAGTCTAAGATACAGACAAACATAGACATTAAGAGCTTCCTGCCTATATAGTTTTTCAGATGGTGAACCTAAAACACAGAAACTGGAAATAACCATAAATTAACTTGATTCAGTAAACATATGCACAGGCAAAGTTTTATATAACTAAATGAACACTCAGAAGCCGAAGTTGGTTTTAACCACTGCTTTGTAAACGGTTTATTCGCTGTTTCACATCATGAACAGCTATTTAAAATGGATACACGTTTAAAGTTACAATAAAAGCTTTCAGATCCCACTGGTCAGTGAGGAACACATGACAAGAGCAGCAGCTTACAGAATCACACAAGCATCATAAAACAGTATGATTCTTTCATAAAACAGTTTACATTTGAAGTCGAAAAGGCTACAAAGTATAAGGCTACTATAAATTATATTATTCATATAACAAGCAAAAAAAAATCAGATATATTGAGTACCAATCTTTATTTTGTAGGTATTTATGTCCTGGGGCATGAATAGAGCTTCGAAAGCCAGCGCATATAAAGAAAACACTGTTGCCGACACAGTGAACCCTGTATACTGAGTCTGATCCTGGATCACTTAAATGTCTTCTGAATTTTAACAGTCCACAGACACACATTATGCAGCTCCAGCTGCAATTAACTCACATAATCTCAACAGATGAATACTAAATGTGTGACAAAAATTGATTGTGTGATAAAAATGGTTTAAAAAATTAAATCGGTGAAACTGGCTAAATTGGAATGTCAAACGCACCATTGTCTCCTGTGCTTGAGAAATGACACCGGCGAACATTAGGAGCCTTCAGCGATAGGGTTCTGACTTCTCTTGTTGAGGTACTCAAGAACAAAGACCTGCAGGATCTTGTTGAGGTTGCTGATGGAGGTTCGATCCAGGTTCTCCTCGTTGTCGTCAAAGGTGTGCCACACCGCAGGAAAAGGAGTCGAAATAAGATGAAGAATCCGGACCCCTAGGAGTGCAGAGAAATACATACATAAGGCCTAAATGCTTTTTATATGAAAAATCCTGATTACTGAGGGAAAATTAATCATATGGAGATTCCTAAAAAAATATTACATTCTCAATTCAAGACATTTGTAGGGTCATGCAGAGACGACTGAACAGGAAATGTGTGATAGCGCCTTAACAGTTCAATAAAGAAAATATCAATACTGAGTAACTTATATTTTACACATAATATTACTTTTAATAATAAATAAATATGAGTTTATTTTTGCTTCCCTTGTAAAAAAAACAAGTGTTCTTAAAGGGATAGTTCACCCAAAAATGCAAATTCTGTCATTAATTACTCACCCTCATGTCGTTCCAAACCCGTAAGACTTTCGTTCATCTTCGGAACACAATTTAAGATATTTTTGATGAAATGTGAGAGCTCTCAGACCCTGCATAGACAGCAACGCAACTGTAATGTTCCCAGGTCCAGAAACGTAGTAAGGACATCGGTAAAACAGTCCATGTGACATCAGTGGCTCAACTTCAGTTTTGCGAAGCTACGAGAATACTTTTTGAGCGCAAAGAAAACAAAAATAACATCATTTATTCAACAATTCTTCTCCCCCGAGTTACGTCTTCCGCCATTTTAGAGTATCACAACACATACGCACGCTTTCCCCTAAGCGTAAACAACGCTGATTTCGTCGATTACGCTCTTGGGTACTCTCCAAAATGGCGGAAGACGTAATTTGGGGGAGAAGAATTGTTAAATAAATTATGTTATTTTTGTTTTCTTTGCGCTCAAAAAGTATTCTCATAGCTTTGCAAAACTGAAGTTGAGCCACTGATGTCACATGGACTGTTTTACCGATGTCCTTACTACGTTTCTGGACCTGGGAATGAGCCACTGATGTCACATGGACTGTTTTACCGATGTCCTTACTACGTTTCTGTCTGGGAACATTTCCGTTGTATTGCTGTCTATGCAGGGTCTGAGAGCTCTCACATTTCATCAAAAATATCTTAATTCGTGTTCCGAAGATAAACGAAGGTCTTACAGGTTTGGAACAACATGAGGGTGAGTAATTAATGACAGAATTTTCATTTTGGGGTGAACTAACCCTTTAATTATAATGAATATATACACTTGTGGTGTACTTCAACCTTAAAAAATGGCAAATTAAAATTTTTACTTTAATGTATATTTTAAAACATTATGGTTTAATAATCTTTTGTCATGCTTCAAAGAAATACACTTATTTTGATATGCTGACTAACACACTTAAGCATAAATGTCTAAACATAATATATGTATAGTACTGTCAATTTTTATCCATTGAATGCGTCTTTCTTTCTTTCTTCATATTTTTGAATGGTAGTGTATCATAATTTCCACAAACATTTGACCTGTAGTGTTTTGTCATCCATAACAAAACTAAATTTCTTTGGAGGTAAGAAAGAGAAACCAGAAGGGATAAAAAAAAAAAAAGATGTGACACAGGGAAATAGAGCGGAAAAATACTAGCCAATATTTTGTAGTCTTGAAAGCCATCGGGTCGTACTGGAGAACTGATTACCGAAGCGAGGATTTGGACCTCCAATCAAGTCCAGTAGAACAAACAAATCCTGGTGAGAAATTGAATGAATGAAGGACTTCAACCAGTTTTGTTGTTTGTCAATGTTTGCTTGCATTCATGTTCTTTAGCCTTACATTTACTATTCCCTCTCAGGAAAAAAAGGTACAAAAGCTGTCACTGTGGCAGTACCCTTTCAAAAGTTACTGTACTAATATGTACATTTCAGGTACTAGTATGTACCTTTAAAATACCAATATGCACAATTTTGGTGTAAACAAGGTACAAAAGTGTACCCCTTGAAAAGGTACCACCCCAGTGACAGCTTTTGTACCTTTTCCTGAGAGTGTACATGATTGTCCATTTGCATATACAAGATAATTCAGGACTATATTCTATATTCAAATTCTATAGTCATGGTGAATGGTGCATTTGCATCTAAAATATATCTGCTGATACCGCAGCAGGAAGATAGCTGTGTAAGAGAAATCTTTCTTCAGTGAAAAGAAAAATCTTATGAGGAAGTACAGATGTAATCTGAGAGCTACAGCAGAAGGAAAGCCTGTCAGTGAATAACAAATTAAATATTAGTGTGGTCCATACACAAAGTTCCAGAAATCTTATAACACTGCGCATAAGTCATATGGGCCACTTTAACAGTACCTGGGACAGACGATATATCAAAATATATAATTTTGGTTTTCAAGGAAGAAAGTGAGCATATAGATTTGGAACGACATAAGAATGAGTCAGTGAATAAGAATAGAATAAATGAATAATAACAGGTAAAATAATTCTAACAATAAGTAGGATACAGTGAGTGATTTTTAGATTAGTCTGGCTGTATGTCAACTATATTTATGTATTAATCCTTGTTTGTGAGAGAACTGTACAATGCCGTCGAGCTGGCTGGTGTTGGTGGCTTCCGGTGGATGTGCTGTTGTCGCCATTTTGTGGGCTAAATGACGGGAGCCGTACAGAGAGTCTTCAGAGGTCCACTGGTAAAGTGCCTCCTCTCCATCAAAGAAGAGGAGCTGAAGTGACACGTCTGACCCAGAATCCTGTGAGAAGGAGCAAACACACATGCTGCCATCTACCTGTGACACTACAGAATACAGCATAACCATGATTGGCACAAATTAAAGTTCAGCTACCAACTGGAAAAGAGAGATTGGTAATGGCACACTCTAAAAAATGCTGGGTTAAATACAACCCAGTGCTGGGTAAAATAGGGACAAACCCAGCAATTGGGTTGTATTTAACCCATCATTTTTTAGAGTGTACAAGATAATTATTAACAAAACAACAATTTAGTACAATAAAGCTTTCAACTGTTTTCTCCCTTTCCTGATCATCATCTCTGATAACTCTTAACTACCGGCATTTCAACGGTAGCTCGCCTGATTATGCCGAAGCTAATTTATTTGCAACTTCTGTTTTAGGAAGAACAATTTAGAAAACTGACCACTTTACATGAACACAGAACATGACAGAAAAAAAAGAAAAGAAATAAAGTGGTTAGGGATTTAAAAAATCACCTCAACCTAGCAACCCCCACTGACATTATGTCTTCACAACAGTTTTAATATAGATTTGATCTCATTAACAACCGAGGCTCATTACAAAAATGCGCCTGTGGTGACATTTCTTTACATGACACTTTAAAGCATAATGTTAATGCTCGGTCACAAATATTATGCACCGCCTACAATAAACCCAACTCTAAACCTAAATATTGTTAACAATGTAATGTAAATGTAAGATAAAAATGCATTTGATGAAGCAACCGTGCTATTTTAGCTTGCTTTGAGGTTTTTTATCGTGACTCATGGGACTCATGCTCCACATCGCTGTACCAGGTGAGCTACCAAGCAAGCTTACTATATGTCAGAGAAGCCATATGGAGCTGGTTATGTAATGTAAATGTTAAAATTTATCATTGAATCTGATTAGACCGTTAGCATCTCGCTCAAAAATGACCAAAGAGTTTCGATATTTTTCCTATTTAAAACTTGACTCTTCTGTAGTTACATCGTGTACTAAGACCGACGGAAAATGAAAAGTTGCGATTTTCTAGGCCTCTCATTCCGGCGTAATAATCAAGGAACTTTGCTGCCGTACCATGGGTGCAGCAGGTGCAATGATATTACGCAGCACCTGAAAATAGGCTAACTTCCGTCAACATAACCAACTACACAAACTTAGTGCCGGTCATGTTGGAAGTTACATAGCTGGGGACTATTTTCAGGCGCTGCATAATATCATTGCGAACGGTCTAATCAGATTCAATGATCTATGCTAAGCTACAGCTAAAAGTGCTACCGCCAGACCCGGAGATCGGCTGAATGGATTCGAAAACGGTAAAACTCAACTGTTTAACTCTAGGGGAGTTGGAAAATGAGCCTATTTTCAAAAATAGTAGCGTGTTCCTTTAAATGCATCGAAGTCATTAAAGTCTTTATTTGTTAATAATCTGCCCCTGTAATCATAATTTATATGTAATAAAAGTTGTTAACGTTTTACTGCTACCAGTGTTCAACTGCAAATAGGTTTTGCAAAAGTGTAGGTAGAGGCATGTTTTTCCAATTAGCCTATATTTCTCCTTAATCTACTCTACTCATAATCTCTTTAATTTCATGTACCATGTTAAAACACAATGCTCATGGTTATGTCTGTAGTGGCAGTGCTTTAACAGGGAATATATTTCTAAAACTTTCCCAAGAAACGTTTTACTGTGAAAAAAGTTGCACAGCTAAAGTAAAGCACATCTGCTAAAAATATTAAAACTAAAACCAAATATATGAAATTATATGTTCCTGTGTACATTGCCATACCTTCAGGGTCTTTAGTTCGTCATCTTGGGCTCTTGCCAGTTCCAAAATCATAGAGCAGGGAACAGCAGAATCCGTTGCTCCAAGAAACTCACGGCCGTCCCACTGTGGAGGGTAGTATTTGGAGTCAAAGTGGCAGGCCAGAACCAACTGACGTTTGGCCTCAGGGTTGAGAGTTGCAATTATGTTGGTAAAGGGAAGATGGCCGTAAGGCGTATGAGCATAGAAGGCATCCTCTGTCACTTCCCATCCCGCTTTCATCGAGCCGAGGGTTGATTTAATATGCTAAAGAGAGAGAAACTCAGACACCGAACACTCTGTCACATTTAACACTTGCTTTCATACACAAACACACACTGACCTGCTGAACGTGTTGGCTTCCAGTTGAACCAGGATAGCGCACAACAAGCATGGGCTTCAGGTCTTTCTGCCACATCCGGTCCAGATCGGTACGAGATACAACACTGCTCAGTTCACTGGAGCTCAGTGTGGTTGCTTCATGTTTCAGCTGAAGTGAAAAGGAATAAAAACCTTTATTCATTCATTTATTCCACAGTGGTGTATTCATACTTTTGTGTCACAAGTCTTGAGTCCTAGTTAACATGCTCCTGGGGCCATGACTAGACCAAGACCATGTCCATGTCCATATTTTCATAGTCTTGGTCTTGTCATGGACTCGGGAGCATGAGGACTCAACCTTCTTCTAGTCTCTGTCTTGACTTGGACGCAACTGAGCTGGTCTCCACTACAACACTGCTTTGTGTATGTTTGTTTACATTTACTGTATTTTATAATCCCTTTCTTTTAGTTCTTAGTAATTGTTAGTCTCTTTGATTGCCATAAGTAATCAAATTGAAAAAAGCATTCAACTTAAATTGATTAAACTGAGCTCAATCCAAATGAAATTCTGATCGAATTGAAGAGTTGTGTAGAAATAATCATATGAATAGGAACAAAAATGAGGGGATATTTACACATCACTGTTTTTAACTAAAAACAGAACACTTCAGCATCCCTGTTGAAAAAAACAGCATATGCTAGTTAGGTATGTTTTGACGCTGGGATGCTGGTTTAAGCTGGTCCTTTGCTGGTTTATGCTGGTCCTTTGTTGGTTTAAACTGGTCCTTTGCTGGTTTAAGTTGGTCCTTTGCTGGTTTATGCTGGTCATTTGCTGATTTATGCTGGTCCTTTTGCTGGTTTATGCTGGTCATGTGCTGGCAAAGGACCAGCATAAACCAGCAAAAGGACCAGCATAAACCAGCAAAGGACCAGTTTAAACCAGCAAAGGACAAGCATAAACCAGCAAAGGACCAGCTTAAACCAGCATCCCAGCGTCAAAACATAACTAACCAGCATATGCTGTTTTTTTCTACAGGGATTTTGGCCATTCTTTTACAAGACAACAGCATTTTGGGGGCCTGAAAACACAAACTTTTGAAAATGGGCTCGAAAGTGCAAGTTTTTGAACAGGATACCATTATTTTAGAACCCGTCTCCATGTAAACTACAAAAATGCAATGATAATCGTGTAAACATACCCTTAGTATGAAAACTTTGAATCTTCTCAGCTGGATTCAAAAATACTTTGCCCACATGTTCTATGCCTTAATGCATGTTTACCAGAGTCTTTTTATAATAAGATCTCTGTTTAGATACAGTTTACATCTTACAAATGTGCATTGGTTTATGTCTTATTAACTTGTCAGTAGAGCAGACTGAATATTTACTAAATATCTGCAAAAAAAAAAAAAGCTTTTCTGACATATTTAAGATATTACCTGACAGTTATGTAACTAAGGTAAATGAAAATGTGAATCGGATTGCAATGTTTAGGGTTCATGTAAATAGAGATTTCTGAATCTGAAACTGGATTACATTCATTCGTATTGACAAAAATTAGTGCATGTAAACATGCCTACTGTTGTTACAAATTTCAGCACAGCTCTGATTTGCCTGTAGGTAATCGCAGTTATGATTGTGTGCATGATGGTTAGTCTGATATTGCTTTAAAGGGAGAGTTCACCCAAAAATGAAAATTCTGTCATTCTGTCATCAGCTGACACAGAATAACATACGCTGTTTACGTTCAGTGGATATTCTCCAAAATGGCACCAGGGTGACGCGGAGGAGACCAATTTTTGAATAAAGTCGTTATTTTTGTTTACGTTGCTTACAAAAAGTATTCTTATAGCTTGCTACGTTTCTGGACCTTGATCATGGTAATTACATTGCTGTCTATTGGAGGGTCAGAGAGCTGTCAGAATTCATCAAAAATATCTTAAATTGTGTTCCGAAGATGAGCAGAGGTTTTACGGGTTTAGAACGACATGAGGGTGAGTAATTAATGACAGAATTTTCATTTTTGGGTGAACTAACCCTTTAATATTGCTTTAAGAAACCAGTTGTTTTGTGCATTTTTGCTTTGCCAAAATAGGTCCAGAGCAGAATAAACCATTGCACCCCTGAGCAACACAGAGTAGTGGTGTGTCATTCTTGAATGAATTAGTGTTCCGAAAAAATCGACTGAGTGAATCATTCAATGACTCATTCACATATTCACTTGCCACCACCTAATGGCTTAACTATGTAAAATCCCCTCTACTAATTCACAGACTGCAGCCTTATGTCTCACACAGGACGAGAGGATTAAGTAAGTAAAGTAATTCATAGACTGTAGATATATAATTAGTGCACTTATCACTCTTGTAACATTGCTCTGACAATCAAATTTGACATAAACATCAACATTTGGGCAGCCAGTCGGCGCCAATAGCCTCATGATTAGTGTGTCGATGTGCAACTGCGCTCATAGCGACCTGAGTTCGATTCGTCTCAAGGTCCTTTGCCGATCCCGCTCCCCTCTCTCCACCCAGTGTTTTCCTGTTATCTCTCTACTGTCCTATCTAAATAAAAAAGCATTTGGGCAGCAATTCACTTATATGGACTGATTGATTATTTTATTTTAGAGATTGATTATTTTACTAATAAATCTTTGTCTGTGTTCATCTTAAAGGGGTCATATGATGCTGCTAAAAAGAACATTATTTTGTGTATTTGGTGTAATGAAATGTGTGAAGGTCATATACATCTGGAACGGTATATATGTTGAGGGAATGAGAGAATTTTAATTTTTTGGGGCTGACTACCCCTTTAAGATGGCTAAGACATCTTTAATGAAATTGATTTGTGATGTTCTTTACTCATAATGAATCATAGCGAAAAGTCTGCTCTTATTCCATTTACAAAGCTGAAGAAAATACCTGACTTGCAATACATGCAATTCTAATTCAGTGACTCCTATTACAGTCAGACAAACATGATGATGATTATACTCTTGCTTAATGGTAATGTTGCAACCAAACTACAGTCTTGTTTGAATGAGAAATTATACACTGCATATGTCTAGAGGATAATTATGTGTTCAAACTACACGGCAACAGAAGGTTCTGAAATGAGAGGGAAACACAGCTGGAGGATATTCAGAGAGGATGTCTGAAAAGTCTGAAAAGCTTTTGATTTTCTTTTCTTTCATGAATAACAATTTCAAGATGGATAGAAGACAGCTAATCAAACTACTTCTGCTTTAAACATGACATTGATCTTCTGAAGACAATTAGTTTTTTTGTATGTTTGGTCTCAAAGTTCAATTCTTGTGCTGTGATTATTGATTCTGCTTGTGTTGTTTAAGCCACTTAATGACTGTGGCTTGATATGAACAACACAGAAGAGAAGCCCTCTGACAGAGAAGATTAGATATATTTTATACATTGTAATAATATGATCTGAAACAATATTTACTTTTTGTTTGTGTGTTTTTTATTTATTTATTTATATTCATGTCACGTTGAAGACAACAGTCAAAAGTAAACATGGTGGTGAAAAATAAAATGATAAAAGATTCTATTCCACAGTGTGACTTGTAAGATTGCTGTATACATTTAATAATCTACAGTCTGTTCAAAATATAACTTGTCATTTTCAGTTTTCTGACAACATGCTTAAAATCTGTTTTAGTACAACAGTAGCATCATACAAACATGGATAAGACATTTCCCCAAAATGCAGATCTTAAGAACAGAACAAAGGGAATTAATTCTAAAGAGAGACAATCTATAAATATTAAGATCTCCTACTAGTGGATCAATGACAGGGATCCTGCTCCCATAGCAACTAGACAATGGGAGACAGACTGAGCATCATGAATGAAGCCTACTTTCCTCAGTCCGTTTAAGTGATCACTGTCACGCATCAATTGAAAAATTTAAACAACAACAAAAAAGAGGACATATAATAAGTAATGAATGAATGCATTAATAAAAAAAAGAAAGAATTCAAATTATTATATTTGTATTAGGTTATGCATTAAAAATAGACAATACATTTTAAGGCAGACACACTCTCTTTCATGAGAAGCATAATAAAATATGTTGAATTCACGACCCCTAAAAATAAATAATAATAAACACAACATTGCTCAGAAGCTAGTAGTCTATGCCACTTCTCTTAAAAAGCAAGGGCTTTAAAAGATGCAAAACAAAGCATCAGCTGTGTAAAGGTTTTTACCTTTTCCTCCTGCCACGGAACAGTGTCGCAGCTCGTCAGTGCCGCTAGGATGCCAATCAAAGCCAGCAGACCCGTGGTCCAGCGTCGTGCAGCCATCTCCTCCTCCGTTCTGTCCGCACGACTGTCTCCCAGACTCCTGCCAACTCGGATCACGTGAGAGAACGATTTACAAGTCCTACTATGGCGACGGCCTGACTCATGAATATTAACAACATTCCGTGACGCTCTGACAAATGATTTGCTGAAAGACAGGCATTGCTAAGTGACTCATGAATATTAACCAGTTGACAAGACTGGGCGCTCAAGGAAAGTTATCAAGCAACGTCAGCAGGGCTTTATTAATATTCATGACTAACCACTTCGACTCGGCACAAAGAGCCAGCTGTTTGCCAGCAAGAGGGTTCTTTCTTCGCCTCACTTTCCTGTCCTTAAATAAACAACTAATTTATATAATACTGAGTTGCTTTCTGTGTACTAATGGGTACCATTAATATTCAAAGTAAAAAGTAAAAATAATAATAATAATTAAAAAGAAAAATACATAAACATTTATAAGACCATAACTGGTAGATTTCTAGATACGGCTTAAAGTGCCAGTAAAAGCAAAAATGGAATTCGAATCTGTTTATTTGATAAATTAATTAATACTAATATTAATGTTTTCTTATTTTAACTTTATAGTCATAACTGCATTTTTAAAAGAATGTTAGTATGTTAGTATCTTTTTTTTGTCACCCATAATCGATGTATACAACACTAACTGTAGGGGACAGTTCATTTGAAGCCAAATATACAGGGTTAAAAGAGCAATTATCTCAGTGACTCATTGACTTATTCAACTGTCTGCAGCCATCGCGTTACAAATCGAGATCCTTAATGTTTCAGAATGTTGCATAATTTTAATATTCAATATATTTTTTTTCAAAATAAACGTAATGACATCGAATGAGTGGGTTCTACAATCAAAATAGGTGCGTTCGACTTCATGCGGCGCCGCGCAAACCGATCGGCGGCTGACTTGAAGCAGTGCATGTCGGTTAGAAATTTAGTCCGACTTGAACCGGCGCCGACCAGTAAAAAAGCTTTTAATGTTCTAAAAACACAGATTTATGAGCAGTATTGGATTTGAAGATGTTAGAAACACACGTCATTGTTGCCATGTGGTGAATTTGGCCAATTGTGAAACAGCTGTGTCGTCATCAGCGATCCTGCAATCGATATTTAATTGGTTCGCCAGATGTTTGCTTGGGTCAGATTCTATGTGATATTTTATTCCTAATAATATATTTAATAGGGTAGGTGGCCTTTCTTTTTTGATGAAATGCAATTACTCCACTGGTAAATTACCTATTAAACTGGCTAGATTTCATCAACAAGCTTTGTTAGCCTGGAAACTGGTTTACAACCACAACTTTTCCCCCCACAAAACCATTTTATGGAATAATTTGGATATTAAAATTAGAAATAGATCAGTCTTTTTTGATAAATGGTTTAATAAAAACATAATTT